ATAGTCATTTGGCTGAACAGCATCCAGACCCGTTAGAATCTTATAGACCTGAATCATATCCCCCCTTAGTCTCAGAAAATGGAGGCTCTGACCGAGATCTGTTATCCCTTATTATGTTGAGTCTCCTCAATCCCATCAGACTCTACGTTGTGATTGTAATGCTTTTTTCGCTAACCCCTGCTAACTCTTAGCTACCTGTTTTTGGTGTTTTCCAAGCGTGTGGCGGTGAGGTTTGCCCTGCAAATACTGTATTGTCACTGGTCTCGAGGAGAGTCCTGCCCTGAAACAGCTGCTACAGAAAAGCTCTCCCCAAAGTGAAAATGGTTTCCGCAGCCCAGGTGTGGATGGGGGCTGTTCGCCGTCACTGACCCCGTCTCCTGTCTGCAGGGACCAACACCATGGCCCTGCTGGAGAACCTGCTGCCCGGCAGTGTCTACCTGGTGCGGATCTCTGCCTCAAACCAGGTGGGAGACGGACCCTTCTCCAGCGAGGTGGAGTTGGCTGTGCTTCCGATGGGCTCGCAGGCGGGGCAGAACTCGGGCCGCTACGACAGCGCAGCTCTAGCTAAAGGTCAGTGCTGGTCTCCGGCCGCGCTGGTCTCTCTCCGGCCACGCTGGTCTCTCTCCGGCCGCGCTGGTCTCTCTCTGGCCGTGCTTATGTGGCTTGTGCTACTTAAACCCTCATTGGATTTGAATATCATGGCAGTTCCATGCATCACATATATTAACATATTATTAACCTAGAATGCAAACATGTGCAGTTGGTGTTCATTTAATATATTTGGTGTTCATTGTAATATGATGATTAAAATGTGAATCTAGGAGTAAAAGCTCTCACATTGTGTTTGGAGAAGTGGAGACCATTCTTGCGTCCAGAGTATGACACTGGTTACCACTCAGTGTGTGTAACAGGAGACCTCTGTCTTGCAGCCTTTTCTGATGGCTTCTTCTACATGGACCAGAAGTCCATGATGGGCATTGTGGTGGGAGTATCCATCGCGTTGGGCTGCATCCTCATCTGTGCTCTCATCCTCTTATACAAGAGCAAATCCCGGTATGGTGGCACGTGGCTGAGCCAGCAGCTTATGGCTGCAGCCCTGAGGGCGGGAGATGTGGGCTGGAGATGTGGAGTAGATAGGAAGGCCTGCCACGTAACATGTGAATGTGTAACCAAGTCGATGCTACCCTTGAGTACTGGCTTAGAAAATCCTACTCTAAGTACCCGCCAGCCAATCTTCAATCTTCTATACTGTCAGAAACATAAGTATCAATTGATACCTTTGAGGGTACAATTACCTGTCACTGGGGCTGTACCCTCAAGGTTCTGCCAGTTGTACCCTTATCTGTAGGTAAATGTACCTGTTTGTGAGGAACATTTCTGTACTATTCGGGGTATAATATTTGTACCTTGAACAAAACCGTACCCGAAGCGAATGCTTTTTTCTGACAGTGTAAAGTACATACTTTGTAGCAAAGCACATATACAGTTTTTATTGCTTATGAGTTTTTTTTTTTCTTTCATTGCTCCCCTCCAGGAAATTCTTTGCCCCCAAGATGGCCAGGCAAGGGAGCTCCCTCCAGAATGCACCCCCCCCGAGGGCAGAAGAGCAGACAGACGGTGCGGAGGCCCTGGTGCCGGCGACGGCTCACAACTTCGTTGACGCTAAAGTAAGTGGCGTCGCTGGGGGATGCGCTGGAGGCCCCCGGACAGCGGCACTCTCCGCATTCGTTAGCTTATCGCGTGGGTTTTGCGCAAAAAGGGTGCTGACAGAATGACACTATGTGCTTCAGGGGGGGACGGACATGATGGTAAACAGCTCCGGTCCCGTGAAGCCCAGCAGGCCCAGGAGAAACATGTGGTGGTCTTTCAGTAATGATGGGAAGCAGAAGCCCAGGAAGGAGCCGGTAAGGAAGTGTTCTGGGGGTGGGGGTGGGCCCAGGCCCGGGTGGGGGGCACGCTCTGCTGTTGACAGGTCTCTTCTCATTCTGATTTTCGGTGTCACCTCCCCCTTCTAAGACCCAGAAGAGAGGCTACAGCAGGTGCTCCTATCAGCTGGCTACCACATTCCTGAGGTATGAGCAGGGGTCTTCCTCATACCCGGGCAGGAACACCCCCACCGGACCTGGGTTTGGGCGACTGGGAGAGACGGAGGGGTCCCAAGGCAGCGAGGGCACAGGTGACTCAGGGCACTACTCGCACGATGAGGCTGACTTGGCCAACATGGCCGACGCACAGCCACTGCCGCTAGGTGTGAAAGCGGCCGGAGCCTGCAGTGAGGGAGAGCAGCCCCACCTAGTGGTGGAGATGGAGAACCTCACCAAGATGGCCGCTCAGCCCTCGCAGCAGAGTCTGCATGCTACCGACCAAGTACATCCTCTGTGATGTGGAAACTGACCCCCCACACGTCATGCACTCCAACCCCCCCCAACAACTGTTCTAATGGACAATGAGCAGGAACCCCAAGAAATGGAAAAATATTCAGCATCATTGGGGGGCCCAGTCTGTCAGAGGATCGTTCTCTGAGATGAAGTCATTTAGTCTTCGTGTCTGTCGTTTTAAATGTTTGTATGTCTTAATCTCACCCACCATGAATGTTACCAAAGATGTGAGAACTTCCTACAGAGAGTGTATCACTGGACTGCAGGGGACTGACTGCCTTAGTCCTGTTTGCTCACCTTCTACCTCAGTTTTCTGTATGGTAAACACTACTTTTATTATATTTAAAAACTCCTTTTACCTGAATTATGTGATTTTATTTTGTATTTTTTTTTATCTTTTTTTGACTTTTTGTTCTGAAGCAAGAAATTGTCATTTTTGTTTTTACTGGTATGTAATAATGGCTACCTCAGGTGTTTTAAAATGTCTTGCTCCTAACTAAGCTCTTTGGTTGGTGAATATGAAGGTGTTTTGGTCCGTTCTTCGTGTGAGCCTTTAGTATGAGCTTGGCTGAAAGCGATGTTAGGCACTCGCAACAGTGTGGGATGTGAAGCATGCTCACGTTCTGTTGGAGCCGCACGTCCGTCGACAAACGTCGGCAATCCATCGTGAGCACCGTGAGTTCCGAGGCTGTAAATATGACTGCAAATCAAGGCCCAGCGGCAAGCCGAGTCTACAGGGACACATTCCGGTGGTACGCCTTGCCTTGTTAGAGCAATGTTATCATATCTAGGTATTTAAATGCACCAACAGGAACCTTATGAGGAATCCAGCCTGAGCAAAAGGATTCTGTCCACATGATGTGGCTGCATATGTTCTAATATGGTTATGCTACCTCTACTTCAGTGTTATTTTCCAAACCTCAGGGAGCAAGGATGTTGTGGGACTTTAAACGTAGGTATGTACTACAATTTACTGCTTGTGTTTGTTGCAGTGTTACATAGCTAATGTACAGGGTATTTTTTGTGTACAGAACCATGTCCTAGGAGGTGGATGCTATCAGCCTGTAATGACAAATCTCTAAAACGGTGTGTTGCTTTTGTTTGTTGGCCTTGTGCCTATAATGAAGTTAGAACCTGTGGGTTCCACGCTCTCCTGTGCAGAACACACCTTTTTGAGTTGATTAATAGCCATTTTTTTTGTCTTTTTTGGTTATTTTTCTTCACCCCTTAAATACCTTAAGAAGTAACCAAAAAAAGGTTGTTCCGACATGTTCGGCACAGCAAACCTTGAAAGCTTTAAAAATGGCCTTATTTGGAAAAGGCTCCTTCGGGTAGCGCAGAATCCACAATGCAGGTGAACGGGAGGAGAGGGGAAGATTTTGAAACCAAAGTGTGATTGCTCTGAAGGTGACCTTTCCGATGTGTTAATAGGAGAAATGTACAGAATGTTTGTCGAAAACTAAAAGTGTGTATGTCAGGTTTCATTAGTTGAATTATACAAACAGTTAATACAACTATCAAAAGTCCTCTTACCTGCAAAGACAAATATCTATATTTTGTCTCCTTTGTACTACTGTGTGCGCAATGTGTAGGAATTTATGTCTTGAAATGTCTGATTCTTTAACGTAGAGTACTTAATTCTCATGGTAGTGTTACATTTCCGTTTGTAGAGACAGCTAGCGTGCTGCAGAGACAGAATGCTATCCTCCAAAGAATGTTTGCTTCCCATCTTTGGTTTGGCTTGTTTTGGGTTTTATGTTGGTCTGGGGAGACTTGCACCGAAAGCTCCACTCGCCAAACCAAAGAGTGAAATGCAGCTGCCCTCGGCTCAGCCGCAGTGCCACACCGAGAGCAGAAGCGTGCCCTGCGCTGCGCAGTGTGCGTCCTGTCACATGACCCAGCACGCCGGTAGGAATCTATCATGCAGCTAAACCCAAATAACCAAATGCCTTCAAGAATTGGGTCATTAGAATATTGGTGGTTTTTATGCTTTAGTCCAGATTTATATTGAACATTATCTCTATATTCTGTACATCTTTTCCTCATTCTGTGTTTTCCCCACTTTCTGAAGGTTTCACCTTTGCACGGAGAGCAAAACAATCAGTTTATTTCTTTTGAGAAGCAAACAATGTAAACCAAAGATTTTTGTCACTGTCACATGTTAGTTTGTAGGCATATATCTTTATCAGATGTTTTGTCGGTTTGTGATGCTTACAATTCCCTGATAAACCAAAAGATATACGTATTGACCATGACGCAACAAACTGTAAACGAAACGTTCGCTTGTTTTTCTTGGTGACCCATTGATACAGCTCACCCCGGTGTCACTATTGTACTCATGTCAAACTGGAGAAAGTGAAAAGTGCCCAGTAATCTGAGGCTCTAATGCTGTGTTAAGCTGCTGTTTGTCCGAGTTTCATTGTGGATTTTACTGTTTTGACTGTATTTACAAGTGTATGACTGGTACAAGGGCGTAACTTTGGCTGGAACATTGGGGGGGTTGAGGTCTCCATCCATTACAGGGGAAACATGATTATTGGTGGGTTGTATTAGCTGGTTTTTATTTATTGGGGGGGCTACAACCCCCCCCATCCCCCCCATAATTTACGCCCATGGACTGGTATGCAGGTACCCTGAATGCATACACCGACATCTCAAGATTTTAAAATCTTGAGATTTTAAAACTTCAGAGCTTAGGTCTAATTTTAGAAAAATTAAGGATATACGTCAGTAGTAGTGCTCACTGCCTGTCAGTGAGCTCTGCTCTGCAGGACCCTGCATACGAAAATGAGCAAACAGCCTTTAAGTTCGAGACAAAGCAGATGGCTATACCTATTCAGGTTTTTATTATTTTAAAAGGAATTTTATGTTTTTTTTTTTTGTGTCATTTGCTTTTCAAATTTGTGAATTGGAAGGGATTTGGATAATGTGAGTGGCTATTGGTGTGGGGTGGAGCCACGAACTCAGCCACGCCCACAGCGAGTCGGTACCCGCCATTTCCAAATGGCAGAGAGGTGTCTGTGTGTATGGGGCAGTTTGAGTCCTCACCATCTTCTATACCAGTGTTTCCCAACCCAGTCCTTGGGAAACACCGGACAGTCCACGGTTTTGCTCCCTCCCAGCTCCCAGCCAATCAGGAACACCGAATACCTGGTACATTTGCGCAGGGAGCTGAGAGGAAACAAAAACATGGACTCTCCGAGGTTCCCCGTGGACTGGGTTAGGAAACGCTGTTCTACGCTGCCACAGAAAAACAGCCACCAGTCTCTACTTCTGAATGTAACTCTGCTTATGCGATTATTTTATGCTTTTGTTTATTAGTTTCTTTAATTTTGGTCAAGTGTTCAAGCAAGCGTTGTCTTTCCTTACAATTAATTATGGTATATTTTGCTTTAAGTCTTGCTCTAATTAAAGCCAAAAAGATATTAACTGATTGGTATGGTTAAATGCACAATTTAAATAAAGCTTTTCATTAAAAACGGTGCAGTGATTTTCGTCCTGCATGATTGTTTAAATACACCCCCTTGCATGGGGTGGGCTTTGCAAAAAGTCAATATGAAAATTAACCCTAGATAACAAGTATGCATCCATAATGCAGATCAATAATATCGATTTGCTTCTGAGAGGTGATCAATAAAAAATCTATGCCATCCATATATTAAATCCCCCCCCCCCCCTTCTCATCCTTATTTGCAATGAATTTTCTGTAACAGGAGTCAGAGCCTTTTCGTGAACCACTTTGTCAGCATCTCGTGATTCGCGTTGCCCAGCCTCCACATCTGTTACCAGCCTCACTTAACGCTGAACGTTTCCTTAGATCTAGGCTGCTAAAATCAAATTAGCGACAGTGACACTCTAGGGCACATCCAGTGTACGATCTGGCATATATTTGTAGGGTTAAAACATGCTTTACAGTAAACACTATCTTCTCTCCGTATGGGGCATTATATAAAGATTCCCTGTCTACTCATTTCAATATAAATAATGAAATGTATATATACTTACGTAAATTACTAAGCAAAGTAGCACTAGACTGGACAAACCGCATTTCCTGAAGAGGTACCGCGAATGTGTGGAAGGTCATATTAAAGTATGTGCTCTTAACCAAGGGTGTAATGTCAGGCTGCTTACGTGGCTTTCCATCTCTAACTTAAATATTTCTCTCCGGTTAGTTCACGTCATAATAGGTCATGCGGGCGGTATATTTCCAACTGTTTTTGATTCTATTACGGAGTATGCATTTTCTTTATTTTAACTTTATCAACAGTCTGCCTGTATAAATATTTTTTTATTTATTATTTTCCAACTTACGGATCACCCTAAACTCCTTTGCACGTAGGCCCTATTGAGTAAATGCTGTTCCCTTATTGCTTTGATTTCTTGGCCCTTCATTACTGACCGTGACATTCTCAGGTTACCGCAGTTTCTCTGAACTCGCCTGTCACTAAGGTGATTTGGCACAGATGATGACAAGATATAATCTAATGAAAGTCAGACTCACTAAAAGTCACGGAAGAAAAAAGAAAAAGTAAATAGCAAATTAATATCAGTACTGGAATTAATACCTAATTTGAACATGCCGGTTTCACACGAAATTATCAAATAATTCAGAGCTACGCATGCTTAATGTCATGTGCAGGATTCAAAATCTGATCGATGTTTAATTAAAAACTCGGCATATAATTTTTTTATTGAATATCAGAAATGGAAATAAACGGTTCTCGATTAATAGTCTACATTTGATGTTAGGCTGATATGACAATACACTGGGCATCTATCCGCGATCTTGTGAATGTTAATACAGTGTGGATTGTGTAGCCATGTTCAACAGTGTTTATTTTCTATTATATAGGCTATAGCGCTAAGACCAAGTATGACTTTAACCTAAGTACTTTAAAAAATACTAAACGCACGTAGCTGTGGTAGTCTTGAAAGCACGTCTTTTTGCCTCTTAGTACTATTTCTTGGTTGTCAGTATCATGCTACAAAACACGTTATACTAAATAAATAAGGCTTCTGCTCAGTGAGTCTGTGCCGCGCACTTTGAGCGACAGCAGCGCGTGTCCCAGACGCGGATCGTTTTCACATCTGTATAAAAGCTGTAAAGTTACACAGAAAATCGCGTGAGTATTATTACAGCTCCCTGCAAACACTCTTTAGCGACTCACTTCTGCTTTGATGGCATCAAAATGCATATCTGGTCCGCGTTGTTATTCCTGATGATGATAATCAGGGCGGCGCTGAAGTGAGGACTCGGATTATTTCATGGAACTGATTTCAGAACTGATTACTCACCCCATACGCAGGAGCTCAAGGTAATTTGGCGAAATAATTATTTGCATGAAAATAATGATCATTGAGACTTCAATCTTCCAGCGTTGGTCATGAATATATTCAGAAAACCCGGCGATTTTGATTAATTTAATTGTGGTAAACGTGTATTTTTTCTTTATTAAACACGTCCATTAATTAGTTTTTTTTTTGTTTATTTTATTTTGTATTTAGTTCCAAGGCCACTATCGTAGATATAGTCATATATGAATAGGCAGCATACACACTGCGCGTGCTTTGGAGATTAAAACTCTGTCAGCAATGACCTGGTCATTTCATACTTGGTTCTTGGTTGCATCGGCTTGGATTTTTCCTACCAAAACAAGGCTCAAGCGCGTCTATGTAGCTGTAAGTCTATACAAGCTGTCAGATAAGGGGGGCGTCCCCCAAGTATAGCCGGCATACCCCCCTGACAGTGGGCTACACCTTGCCTTCACAGTGGGTGTAAAGATGTCCGATAGCTCGAGTGATACGGAGTCCTCAGAAGGATGGACCTTCATCGGCAGCGAGGTACGCCGTTGTTTTCCGTCATTATTCGGGCAGATGCAGGGGAATAGTATTGAATGGTAACCACTATACACTCTAAACTAGACATGGTAGTCACATCACTTCTTTGACATCTAGTGGTATATTTTTACTCTCTCGACTTAGTTGGCTTAGTCGTGAATATAATTTCTTTAATCCATTCAAACAAATACTAATACAACCAAATCTAACGTGTGATCGCTCACTGACTGCGCACCGAGCATGACAGAAAGCATTATGCCACAGTGCTCGTGTACTGGACGGTTGTTTCTCGTTTTCAAAGCTGCTAAATTATCATTCGTCGGTGGCTGAATATTATATACGTCATAAAATAGTTTAAGAATATGTGCAGAATTGCAATGTTTGTGACAGAAGGGGCATGACGGTCCTTCCAGAGCTGGGGATTCAAATCCCGTTTCCTCTCTGTGTGGAGTTTGCATGTTTTCCCTTTGTCACGTGGGTTTCCTCTTGCAGTCCAAAGACATGCTTTAGTGTATGATTATGTGTTTGTGCCTGCAAACTCTGCTATGGAATTCTGTACTGTCCTGCTTCTGATCATTATTTTTTTTCATTTGGTGTCTGATCTAAGGTATCCCAGCCTGTGCTGGAACAGGCTGTAGGTCACCCTGACCAGTACGACTGGTTAGAAGATGTATGTTTATGAATCTTTTTAATGTGCTGATGGTTGACAAGAAACGTTGCAGTAACTTCCTTTCTGCTGAAATGTGTTAAATAGCATTTTCTGTACATGTTTAAAAGGCCAGTGTCGACTTCCTGTGTTATACAAACAACCCCGGCCAGTGGTTATGGTGTCTGTCTGAAGGCTGAGCTGTCGGTGTGGAATGAGGTGAGAGGGGCCAAGGTCCCCGTTCGTTTGGCAGACGAGCTCAGATGAGGATGACAGAGGCCCTGTACTGTGTGATTGTCAGGGCTTGGATGTCGAGGCACTCGACGGAGAGGGTGAGGAGGGGAGTCAGAACGCGGACCGTCCCACGACGCAGGGGAGGCACGAGGAAGCAGCGGCCGCAGATGGTCAGTATCCTTAGCAGTTGTACTCCTGGCTCTTTAAAGCTTCGGAGAAGTAATTCTCCTACTGTTAATTTAAATGTCATAGTTGTATAAATAGAAACATACGTGATTTAAGTAAAGACAAGTACTAAAGAACTGGCAGAAAGTGTCTGTTCTAGCTTTTCTGTAATGCTGGCAGACTGAAGTATTCATAGATGTGTGTTTTCAGCCGATGCAGCTCCTGAGGACAGCCAATGGGAGGAAAGGCTCTCTGTCGTACAGGTTAAGTCATCATCCCGACCAGGTCCTATAATGACATGTCAATGATTTGTACTATTAATTATGCAGCAGTTCCAGATCAACCGGTTACGATTAAGAATACGTCTTACTTGTTTTCCTCAGGCTCTGGGAAATGTGGAGACGGGTGAGGCCACGATGTCGTGCTCAAGGACTGACGAGCCGGATGTCGTTGAGCAAGAGCTGGGGGGGCCGGCAGGTCATGAGGTGCGGGGGGGGTCAGAGGAGCTTCGGGCAGAGCCAGACAGCGAGGAACTCCTGGGCAGCTCCATCAGCTGTTACTTCAGTACTGTGGAGACCTGTAGGTGATATCTTGTCTCATCCCCCAACTCCCCCCCCCCCGTCCGGCAATGTACCAGGGTATGCAGCAGTGGTTTTTGCAGGAAGCATTTGAAGTGATGTGTAGGGAGTTCCCTTACACATCACGAAAAACTGGCAGGGCACATAGTTTCCTTTGTTATGGGGGGGGGGGGGGGTGCATATTACGTACTAAGGGCTCCCCCAGACCCCCCTCTTTTGAACTATAACTGATGGCCAGTTGAAATATGACTGTTGATGTGTGTTCAGTTCAGCATGGAAGAAAAGTACACAGATGAAACAACTGTCCTTGGTGTGGTCGTGTAAGTGCAGGCGCATTAGGCAGTCAGTGGAACTTTCCAGAAGGCCTGAGCAACTTGGGCAGCTGATTGCGTCCGAAAAGGGCACCTGTTTGACAGCCGCTCGGGTCGACATGGTCAGCGGTGACCCGCAGTGAATCTGACACCGTGCTGAACTCGCCCAGACGATCTCATGTGACACGCCTTTGGCGGGATGATTCACCGCGACATTAATGTGTTGTCAAAAATCCAGTCCTTTGCGACGGTGACTCTATTAACGCCCTTGGGCAGATGAGCTGAGCGACGCGTAAAACAGGCTTTTACTCTCTAACATAATCATGCAAATCATAAGGCCTCAAGCCCTGGGCCAAACCAGACCGGCTCAAAGTACACCTGCTTCATATTCACTGTATACTCAGTTAGGGCCCGTAGGAGGCCTGTCCCTAACCTCGCCCTTCCCCCATAACATCCAAGTCCGCTTGCCTTTCATATGGGCTTAATAAACCCAATTTGTTGCTTTTCCTTTTCCTAAGTCGGATGTGAAATGCAGAGTTTCAGTAGGATAGAGGGAGCTTGTTTTAATCATTGTGAACCTCGAAGCATCCAGCATGTGACAGTCAGGGTGAGGGGAGCCACTCTCCGGTGGCAGGGGTTTCACAACCGTGGTGCGACCCAGCCAGTCTCCCATCCAGATAGCAACATGAGCTCACTTTAGCACGGGCCGCTGCCTCGTCGCCATTGGTCAGCCATGGCGCTCTTCCCGCCGTAGTATTTTTGGCACTTTATCTCGGATTTCCCAGAGAGTTTCCTTTGGAAGTGCCTGTAAATGAAAATAGTCCCCTGAAAAAAGGGCACTGAAAAGCATTTATTTATATCTGCCTACCATAAGATGTATAAACGAAAACATTTTAGAATGATGCATGTAAAATACTACATACTGTATAGGGCTGTTGCATTGCACCTCCAGGGTGGGCATTGAAATTGCACCTCTGTTCTGTCTGTGTTTAGCTTGTATATTCTCTTCATGTTGTGTCATGATGATGTCTGATATATTTGTTATGGGTTCAGTTTTTCGCATAGCATAGAATACATTTTTTCACTTGTCTTTTCATGTCTCTGATTGTGTGTCTGCGTACGCGTGTCCCTGCACCAGTATCCCCGTCAGCGCCTCCTACTGGAGACTCCAGTGGCAGCGAGAGTGAGTCAGGAGGGCAGCTACCCAGCGTGAGGACAGGAGGGAGCGCTGGGCCTGCAGGAGGAGGCATGAAGGAGCAGCCATCAAAGGAGCCACAGGTGGAGGCGCGGACCCAGGAGCGTCTCCGCCACGCGCTCAACATGTGCATCTCCCTGCTCATCATCTTGGCCATCAGCATGGGCTTAGGGCAAATATATGGTAAGACTGGGTGGCACCTCCCACATTACCGCCATCATAATTACCATGGTAACATGGACTACATACACCCAGGGGTTAAATCAGAATCAGAGAGGCAATGTATGGGGGGGGGGGGGTGAATGTGCCGCTCTGTTCATTAGTTTACTAATTATTACATGTATTTTTCATTTGTCGGCATGTTCTGTTACCACTGTAAAGGAACAGAAAATAATCATATCAAACTTTACTACGTGTCATATTCTTGCTTATTCATTGTTCATGTCCCTGTGAAGATGCATTAAAATAAAAGTTATTCACATATTGCTTCTGGCATATCTGACCTCTAGCAGAGTCTAGCTAGTAAGTGAAGTTCTGGCAGCAGTATGAAAATCGAAGTCAAAACACAAAAACACAGTGTCATGTAGAAATATCTCATCCACTTCAGAATTCAGAGCGACTAATGAAAATTAACAGTAAAGCTATTGGAAAATCATGATTTTAGTGCAAAACTGTCTGTTTATGAAACCGTTTACTTTGAATCTTTTACTAAGTTTTTGGACATTTAGAAAAAAAGTTAACATTGAAGGAGGCAGAGCTGTGCTCCAGCAAGGTGCCATTCGGACATAAGGAGGTGGAGCTGTGCTCCAGCAAGGTGCCATTTGGACATAAGGAGGTGGAGCTGTGCTCCAGCAAGGTGCCATTTGGACATAAGGAGGTGGAGCTGTGCTCCAGCAAGGTG